TTTTTATTATTTCAATCCTTGTTCATTTTATACATTTTAATTATTTTTAACCCATGTTTTGTCAAAGATTAGTGTTAATGATTATAAAAAAAATGAGGAAAATAAAGATAAAATAAAATACTGTAAAAAAAGATTAATGGAATATAAAGTTGTTTCATATTATCTTTTTATAAAATATATAGTTGTTTATTAATACTTTTTTGGGGTCATTAATAGCCTTCTTTTTTTTGGTTTATTATTATTCTTCTATTTAAAATATGTATATTTTTATCTTTCACTTGATGTCATATATATAATATCATATTATCAATTAATATTAGTTTATTAATAAAAACTAACAAAACTTAATTTAAAAGAATTTTTTATTAAAAATTTTCTTTTCATTGACTTTTTAACTAATGTAAAGATGCATGTCTTTATTTTTTTTTCAAAAATTCATTTGGCGCCCTAGAGGTACAATTTCATAAAGACAAAAACTACTTGATGAAGGTTATGCAAGAAGAACAGGAAACGATTGAGTTGGTGTTGATTGGGCATCGGAGTTTGGTAGGATCTTGGTACCGATTGTAGGGGCTGTGGGCCTCTGTTGGCGGTGGCTAAGGATAGTTAACGGTGCCATGGTGGTAATCGCAATGACGATGGTTCAGTCCTTCAGGTGGGGACTTTGTGACAATGGGCTGAGGGAATGGTGGGTTATGTTTGGAAGCCAGGATGGGGAGCAAGAAACGTGTGGCATGATTGCATCATCAAAGAAGGTAAGGCTGTGTGCTGAGGTTTAGAACTTAGAAGTAAAAGCTAATTATTGGAACAATTGCAGGACTACTAGAACCTTATCTTTAGTAGGGTTTTAATTTTAGTCTGCCTATTTGTTTTCTTATCAATTTAGTCCCCTAAGTTTGGTTTTGGGCTATTTAGTCTTAGGTCCTTTGCCCAACTAGGATGAGAGACCATGTGAGTTTTGGCATTAGGTTAATAATTCTCTCAGGTTAAGGTCACTAAGGTTTGCTCTATTAGGAACTCTTGTGTTCGACCATGATTTTGCGCCCAGTCAGGGTTGGAAGACCCCACGAGCGTAGGCCTTTTAGAATTTAGATCAACTCTCCCTTGCGCAAGTTCTCGGTTTTTGGGATGACAATTTTACCCTCATCTCAGGTGCATTTACATTTTTACCCGTTATAAGTAAGGGATTTTCATCCATGGACCGGCTACAGGTAAAATAATTTTATCCAATAACTTTTGGGCAAAGGT